CACTGCATGACCGAACCATTTCATTCTTTGTCCGTCGATATAATTCAGACACGGTCTTATTCCAACTGTCTCTTTAATGCTGGTATTCGTAGTCCCGTCCCTTTTTGTGTTGTTGGTGACGTTACGTAGACAGGTTATTGTCAGTTTTGTGCTCTATTCATTGTCCGTGTTTGGCACTGATAGCATAAAATAAGGATGAGGATGCTATTAACCATTTGTTGTTTTGCTGGAAGGGGGCTGTTTCGATGTCTAAACAATGGGGCTAACTCGTAGGTGTGGCCTATACAAGTATACACTGGGAGCCACGGTGGCCTGGCAGTTAATGTTCTCGCCTGCTGGCTGACTGTTCTTGAGTTCAAATCCTTCTTGAGGTAGGGTTGTTAGCAGTAACCAGAGACTTGCACTGGTAGTGCGTTTGCGTAGCTGCCTAAAGGTTTAAGTTCAGTTCCTAACTATGGCAAGTTTGTTTTCCTGTTCATGCTGTTGTGGGGAGACTAATATTGACGCTGGCCAGTTGAGAGACTTTTTGGGAAATTGTTAGGAAGGGAAAGGCAACGGGAAAAGGGAATTAGTGTGTGTTTATTAAAATTATTATTGATGTAAGCGGTGCTGGTCAGAAGTGAGTGTTTGTATTCGTGTCGGGTATCGTCTCTCTAACGTTCTTCCACAAAATGAAACTCATTGTGCTCCCATCAGATGAGACGCAGCCACTTGAACAAAATGTTTTTTGGCTCTCCCCTTCAAGTAGCGCCCATGACATTTGCCATACCCCAAATGCCCCACTGCTGCAGTAGCAAGGCCTCCTTCTTATGACATTAACATAGACAAGTCTAAATGTTGAGAGCATGCATCTTCCCTGTAGCAACATAGAGATGTAAGTCCTAGACTGTCTTCCAGTCCTTAAGAGAGAAAAGGCCCGGTGAGTGTCATCACCCCTTTTAACCGTGTTATTTTGTTCTTGGTGTAGTTTATTTCTACTTCGACCATGTCTAAATAAATCCACCCGATTCTCAGAATACAGCGGTCAAAAGAAGACAAGAAATACCGACACTCTAAAAGATCTGAACGTCAAGGAAGATTGGCTAGTAAAGAGCATCTTGTCTCGGAAGCTGGATTATTTTGGTCATATCAAGCGCCATAGCGGATTAGAAAAACTAAAAGCAGAAGGCACGGCACCAGAAAGGAGGAGCATGGGCCAACTAGCACATAGACGGCCACAATATAAAAGTGACTTCTTTGGATATGGAAGTGCACGAGGCGGGATAGCTGGCTAGAGACAGACCCCCCCCCCCCCCCTTTTTTTTTCCATGCAGACTGTGATGAGAACGACGTTCTGCAAAAGACATGAAATGATGATGAGAATACAGGTTTGGGAATGGCGTTGTGGTATCAAGTGATGCAGACATAGAAGTAGTATGGAAGTTACGCATCAAGGCCTAGACGTAGAACCACAACAATGACATGACATTGCACACGTAAAACATGGTATGGAAACTGTGTCATTGCGCGTATATATAACAAATGGCCTTTGTTTACATCAGCAAACACATGCAGGCACGCACAACACTGACAGTCGCTACCACATCACGCGACTAACTTCATCAACACGAGGTATTTTAAAAACAAACGTGAATCAGGTCAAGGATGCAGACAGGAGCCAGAGGGTTGCCTGGGGTCAACAGCAGTGTCGTAGATACAGAGGGGCCAGTCAGGGTGGCTTGCTGGGGGCCGCCTGTACCGTTACCGGGCCTCAATAACACACCCTTGACCCAGTTAGATACAGGGGTTTGTTTACAAGGTCTGCAGCACTCCCTGTCGAGTTGGAAGACACATAACGTAAACAGAGGAGGGACCCTTGAGGTCGTAGACACGTTATTTAAACGCGCACACAAATATATATTATTGTCCTGTTGAACCGTTATATGTCACATAGGGCTCGTAGTTTGTTCTAAATTCCGTTATGTCCTGTTCAATTCTCTCGATATCTTAGCCTGGCTCTCTAGCGTAGTTGGCAAAATCGGATTGCGCGGTGAGCGGGTGACGAACTCCTTGTGGTCCGGGTTCACTCCCCGGGGGTGGGCAGAAAAGCCACATTTCTCCCAGATTTACGGTATTTAAAATGGAATCAAGGCAGAAAGGTTGCGATATCCATAATACCGAGCCTAAGGGTTAACAACTTATGGCTTCCAGATACTAAAAAAAAAAAAAAAACTTGATGACAGAATTACGGTTTTCCAAATCTGGTTATATAGAAGAATGAGACAATTTCGGTGTAGGAGGGGAAGCCTACAGACTTAAGACAAGGTTGCGTGTGGGTGGACAGCGTGGAGAGAGGGACAGCGAACCTGCAGGAGTGCTCCGTGAGCCCGCCAGACAGAAGCCGTTAGAATAGTGGTTCTCAATCTTTCTAATGCCGCGACCCTTTAAAACAGTTCCTCGTGCTGTGGTGACCCCCCCCCCCCCCCAGCCATCGAATGTTTTTTTTTCGTTGCTACTTAATAACTTCAGTAAATGTTTTCCCATGGTCTTAGGCGATCCCTGTGAAGGGTCGTTCGACCCACTAAAGGGTCGCGACCCATCAGTTTAGAACCGCTGCGTTTGAGGTTTATTACAGCCGATCTGTCGTCGTGGAGATGACACTCGGTGAGACGATGGTGGGGGGGGGGGGGGGGGGGGGGGATTGTTATACTGGCTATAGTATAATCAAGATAACTGATATCCTAACTCCAGCCTTGGATTTAGACATAAGCTAACTAGCTGTAATGATTGTGAGGCCGTCAACTGTAGTCTGTGTTATGTTATGTGCCGTCAACTGTAGTCTATGTTATATTATGTGCCGTCCACTGTAGTCTATGTTATATTATGTGCCGTCCACTGTAGTCTATGTTATATTATGTGCCGTCCACTGTAGTCTATGTTATATTATGTGCCGTCCACTGTAGTCTGTGTTATATTATGTGCCGTCCACTGTAGTCTATGTTATATTATGTGCCGTCCACTGTAGTCTATGTTATATTATGTGCCGTCAACTGTAGTCTATGTTATATTATGTGCCGTCCACTGTAGTCTATGTTATATTATGTGCCGTCCACTGTAGTCTATGTTATATTATGTGCCGTCCACTGTAGTCTATGTTATATTATGTGCCGTCCACTGTAGTCTATGTTATATTATGTGCCGTCAACTGTAGTCTATGTTATATTATGTGCCGTCCACTGTAGTCTGTGTTATATTATGTGCCGTCAACTGTAGTCTATGTTATATTATGTGCCGTCCACTGTAGTCTGTGTTATATTATGTGCCGTCAACTGTAGTCTATGTTATATTATGTGCCGTCCACTGTAGTCTGTGTTATATTATGTGCCGTCCACTGTAGTCTATGTTATATTATGTGCCGTCCACTGTAGTCTATGTTATATTATGTGCCGTCAACTGTAGTCTGTGTTATATTATGTATAACATAACGTAACATAGACTACAGCTGACGGCCTCACAATCATTGTTTGTTCACATATGCAATTTTCTCCGAATAGAGCATTCAAGAGGATTATATAATCTTTCCGATTCTGCAAATAAAGTAAAGGACCGTTTTCCACGCTTTTCAGACGTATTGGGTACATAGGGCTAGACCTATATTTTATCGACCAACAACACTAGGTGGGTTATGTGGTCAGTATCACACCGGCTGCCTCTACTCCCCAGGACCGTACCTGGTACTCACTCAAGGCTGAGTCGACCTGGGTGCCAAGTTCATTTTTGACAAAAGTCTGGCTCCCCCAGTCAGGAACCGAATCCACTACCTTCCGATCTGAGGCGAGCGTCTAGCTAGATTTTGCAGATACATTGTTTATTTAAAAAAAAAAATTGTTTCTACAAATTAAACGACATTATTTTTCCGTCATCCATATATTTAAAAGGCATGTACATTTTAAAGTCTTCTCAGATTAGCTGGTATATTTAAACATTAGGGGCCACGGGACTTTGTCTAGCTTAGGGCCTCATTAAGTATAAATCCGGTCCTGGCTTACCCGTAAACATCCGCAGGACCTGGCTGGTGTGGCCGTTACGGGGGGGCCATAATTATAACTTCCTCTGAGGTTCAAAAGGGTGCGTGTTTTTGCCCTGTCGGCAGCGCTGAGACTTCTCTTGTTTCCGGTGCCAAACCTTCAGGTTCTTTTGGTCTGTCATCGAAATTGATCTATTCTCATCTTTGACCAGACCACTGGTCATCAACCTGGAGGCGCGTCCCCAAGGAAGTTCCAAAGAGGGCATCAAGTATTATTATTTCGGCACCATGTCTCCCCCCCCCCCTCCCAGTTAGTTATCAATAAAATTATAATAAATAAAATATTAACAGTCATGAAAACAAAACAGTGCTACCAGCTTGACATGGAGAGTGATCTCATTTATGCCTTGTCCAATGTGTGAACAGAAATAACAGTCATCAAGACAAAACAGTGACGGCTGTCATATTGATATTTGGACACTAAATTAATAGTTCCGTGTGTATTTTGCTGACTGATGACACTTTGTATGGCTACGACATTCTCTTGAAGTATCCAGCGTATCTGACTCAGTTTGTGACTGGAATCACTGGCATAGGCAATTGAGCAGTTATGGGTCAAGCTCATTTGCTGTAATGCCGGAACCGTAACGACTAACTAACTAACTAAGTAGTTACTAGTTGAAAATGATTTGTGTGTGTGTGTGTGTGTCGGGGAAGGCAAAAGCGAGCAACAGTTGCTTGCAAAAGTCGGGATGTGTCCATCAAAAGGTGCAAATATCGTAGTTAACGGACACAACACAATTACGTCTTCGGATGAGCGCAGATTAAAACTGGAGTGTGCGGCACCTGGAAAAGGTTTAAACCCACTCCTGTGCGCCTGTGTGCTAAAGATCTATGTGTTAAACACGTATTTGAAAACGGGCATTCCCAATTTTACTTTCAGGTTGATCAGAACATCTAGTTTAGATCAAGTCTAGTGTAGGTGGAACCAACCATGTCTGATGCAGCAGAAACAACCCCTGCCCCTGAGGCGGAGACAAAAGCAGAGGCCGCCCCGGCCCCCGCCGCCGCCCCGGCCCCTCCCGTGAAAGAAGTCAAGAGCATCGTGTTGACGGGGTTCGGAGGTGTGAAGATGATGAAGGTTCAGCAGAGACCGGAGCCTACCGCTGGCGACGAGGAGGTTTTGATTCGCGTCAAGGCCTGGTAAGTGTCCTCACCTCCTGCAACTCTGTGATTTAGTTCTGTGTCTACTTCATCCGAGTCTGAGTGTGTGTCTAAACCAGGGATAGACAATCTTCCACTGGCTACACTTAGAATTAACAGTCTGGTTGTAGAATACAATCTCACACTACGCCTCTGCCTCACACTCACACACTGAAGCATTTTAATACATTCCTCAATGTGTCTATGTAAGCTGGTTATGTGCAGAAATCATATTATTGAGGGAAAGGGATAGGAGGGGGGGGGGGGGGGGGGGGGGGTAGTAGTACAGTAATTTTACACCAGCCTTTTCAGTAAAAAGTAAAGGTCCCTTTTCAACGCCATAGAGCATATAGGGCTAGACCTATAATTTTATAGACCATCCGCACAAGATGGGTGATGTGGTTAGCATCACGCCGGCCGCCTTTACTTCCCGGAACTGCACCTGGTACCCACTTAAGACTGGGTCGACATGGGAATCAAAATCATTTTTTAACAAAGTCGGGCTCCGCCAGGGAGCGAACCCACCACCTTCCGTTCCGCACACTAGCGTCTAGCCGCTCCACCACGGGGGACTCCCACTAGCTTTTTAGGTGACTACAAATTGTTGGTTGGGCCATAGTTTGTCCACTTCTAGTCCATACCTACCAGAGACAGCAAGCTTGTCCACTCCTAGTCCATACCTACCAGAGACAGTATGCTTGTCCACTCCTAGTACATACCTACCACAGACAGCAAGCTTGTCCACTCCTAGTCCATACCTACCAGAAACAGTAAGCTTGTCCACTCCTAGTACATACCAACCAGAGACAGCAAGCTTGCCCACTCCTAGTCCATACCTACCAGAGACAGTAAGCTTGTCCACTCCTAGTACATACCTACCACAGACAGCAAGCTTGTCCACTCCTAGTCTATACCTACCACAGACAGCAGGCTTGTCCACTCCTAGTCCATACCTACCAGAGACAGTAATCTTGTCCACTCCTAGTACATACCTACCACAGACAGCATGCTTGTCCACTCCTAGTACATACCTACCAGAGACAGTAATCTTGTCCACTCCTAGTACATACCTACCACAGACAGCATGCTTGTCCACTCCTAGTACATACCTACCAGAGACAGCAAGCTTGTCCACTCCTAGTACATACCTACCAGAGACAGTAATCTTGTCCACTCCTAGTACATACCTACCACAGACAGCAGGCTTGTCCACTCCTAGTACATACCTACCAGAGACAGCAAGCTTGACCACTCCTAGTACATACCTACCAGAGACAGCAGGCTTGTCCACTCCTAGTACATACCTACCAGAGACAGCATGCTTGTCCACTCCTAGTACATACCTACCAGAGACAGCAAGCTTGCCCACTCCTAGTACATACCTACCACAGACAGCAAGCTTGTCCACTCCTAGTACATACCTACCAGAGACAGTAAGCTTGTCCACTCCTAGTACATACCTACCAGAGACAGTAAGCTTGTCCACTCCTAGTACATACCTACCAGAGACAGTAAGCTTGTCCACTCCTAGTCCATACCTACCAGAGACAGCTAGCTTGTCCACTCCTAGTCCATATCTACCAGAGACAGCTAGCTTGTCCACTCCTAGTCCATATCTACCAGAGACAGTAAGCTTGTCCACTCCTAGTCCATACCTACCAGAGACAGCAAGCTTGCCCACTCCTAGTACATACCTACCAGAGACAGCATGCTCCTAGTCCATACTCCAGTAGTACTCCTATACATACCTACCAGAGACAGTAAGCTTGTCCACTCCTAGTACATACCTACCAGAGACAGCAAGCTTGCCCACTCCTAGTACATACCTACCAGAGACAGTAATCTTGTCCACTCCTAGTACATACCTACCAGAGACAGTAAGCTTGTCCACTCCTAGTCCATACCTACCAGAGACAGCAAGCTTGTCCACTCCTAGTACATACCTACCAGAGACAGCAAGCTTGTCCACTCTAGTCCATACCTACCAGAGACAGTAATCTTGCCCACTCCTAGTACATACCTACCAGAGACAGTATGCTTGCCCACTCCTATTACATACCTACCAGAGACAGCATGCTGCAGGTAAGGTCACATGTTTGAGGAACTGCAGCTGCCACTTGGAAACAGGCAAATACATGTGACATCACGCATGGACTCCATAGAGAGATAAGAAGACATAGATGATTGTAAATTGATCAGCTACTGATAGGAACACATGCTCGTATATAGTAAGAGCAGAAAGCCAAACCGTGGATTGATAACTTCAAGGTTGCACTCAACACATATGGAAAGAACACAACCAGGGCAACATAGCTGGTCATGAGAGGCCAACCTAGCCTTTCTCTCTGTCCATCACCTGTACGCTTAAGGTAATACGCTAGACAATAGGTTTATGTTTTGGTCAAACGCCAAGCAGACAGTCTGTGGTGGTTAGGGAGACAAGGGTATTGCGGTGTTGAAGAGACACAGATCAAACCAGATCCAGTGGTTTGGAAGTGTGTGGAAACCGCCACCATTTTGTGCACCATAGAGAGCCCTGTCACCGATGCTTCTGCGAAACCTGACGATGAAAGCAATGTCCCGTGACGTCAGGGCGGCTGGGCGTGATGTTGACCCTATCGCCCATTGAGGGATGATTTTTCTTCAACAATATAAGTCTACCATCATATGCCCCATGTCCCAGTATGGGTTCTGGGGCCGCATTTGGGTGAAAATGAGTAGACCCACTGCGTCTCTGACAAGCATGGCGTAAGAGTCGACTAAATAGGGGCTTTTTTGGAAGTCGAAGTGCATCTGCCTTTGACGCGAGGACTCAACATTCTGCATACAAATAAGCCAGATCCGTAAAAACGAATGTGCACTTAAGTTCCGGAACAAGACTAAATCCACAACTGGACGAGCATCCATAACTTCCCGCTCCCAGTTTCCTGCCGGTGAATGCAGAGATGAAGAAGAGGCTATGCCCGATGTTCCGCTGGTGTAAGCACGACCCTTTAACGGATTTAGCTCTAAGTGTAACTACCTGGTAAGCCACATACGTCCTGCTTGTGAACTCTCCAGCGGCATGAGCTTTCCTGACCTCATGGTGCGACAAGGGGTCATCGACCACCCGCCCAAGACGCCGGTGATTCTGGGCTTCGAGTGTACCGGTGTTGTGGAGGTGGTCGGCGCCAACGTCACTGGATTTAGTGTGAGTACTGTCTGTCTGTCTGCCTGCCCGTCCGTCTTTTTTGTCTGGAAAATGAATGCGGTGCTGATGGGGGGAGGGGGGGGGGGCGTGTTTATATTTGTGTAGACTGGTACCGTTCCAGCCATCTTCAGCCAAATAAAACTCACCGTGGACACCCTGATGAGACGCTGCTACTTTTAATAAAAAAAAAAAAAAAAAATAGAATAGTCTTTTGTTGTCCCCTTTCAAGAGGCACCCAGGACATCTGCCCTACCTGGCATACCCTAGTTTCGCCACTGCACAGCACATGAGCTGCGCCGCCAGTGACTCTCTCCAATGTTTCAATACAAAAACCCTAAAGGGAGTCAGTCTTAACCAGAATGTCCCACAAGAGTTGTCATTAAGTCTGTCATATTGTGTGCCTGTGGGTAGGCATGTTTATATGTGCACGTATGTGTGTTCATTTTTTTGTCAGTATTTGTTCCGCTTTGATCCTGTCATTAGGTTTCCGTCTCTTAGTCTCTCAGTGCATATCATGGTGTCTGTTTCATAGTGTCTGTTAGCAGACTGACTTTGTCTCTCACAGTACTATACCGCATGTCTTTGATTATAAACTTAGTATTGACAAGTTATCATGTGCGCCTGTTTGTCTCTATCCCATACTTTATCTGACCTTATCAGCATGGTGTCCGCCTCGAGTGCTAGAGGTTCCGGGTTCGATCCCTTGTAAGGGCTGGGATTTTTTCTCCGTGGACTTGGACTTTTTCGCGGGGACTTCTAGTAATTTCCTTGGTGTCTGGTTAGTGAGAACGGACGCCCGTGTGCATTGTCTCACACTTAAAAAAAATCCATTGGCAGTTGGAAATCGAAAAGAGTAGCCTTATTTCAGGATCGTCGCCGGTGCTACAGAGCATGTGCACTGTACTGAGCTTCTTCTGACTCAGACTTTAGTTAGAGGTAGAACTGAGCACTTATGGGTTACTACCCGTGGGCCATGTTGTTGATCCGTTGTTCAAACCTCAAAATTAGCGAGGTTGTTCGCCTGTGCCCAAACCCGGATGAAGATAGTCCAGCCCGTGGGCTACAGGCGCCCCAGAACGCCACCGCCTCTATTAATGAAAGCTGCACTACGTCACAACAATAGGATGTACACATTCCCTTCAGATATGTAGGCCACGAGATAGCGGACGCCAGCGGCCATATCTTTTAAAACCATTGAGCTAAGTTTATGTGAACAAAGCTGACGAAAAAGAAGTAGTAGTATTAGTAGTAGCAACAGCAGCGGTAGTAGTAGTAGTAATAGTAGTAGAAGCAGCAGCAGCTGTGGTAGTAGCAGTAGCAGTAGAAGCAGCAACAACAGTAGTAGTAGTAGAAGCAGCAGAAGTAGTAGTGATCGTGGTGGTGGTAGAAGAAGAAGCAGCAGAAGTAGTAGTGATCGTGGTGGTAGTAGAAGAAGAAGCAGCAGAAGTAGTAGTGATCGTGGTGGTGGTAGAAGAAGAAGAGGCAGCAGCAGCAGCAGAGGACCGTCGCCACCTAGACACTGTTGTCGAGGTTTTTCCACCTTGACCAACCTAACCTATCTTGACAGACTGAACAGATAAGTCAAGGTTCATATTTACGCCCGCCCCATCTGGCATATTGTGTTAGAATCATTACTTGTATTGGCAGTCGAAGGGCGATGCAGTTAACATCACACGGGCCGTCTTTACTTCCGATAATATTTCATGGTACCATCTCCGACATACAAGCGTCTCACCACTGACCTACCGCTCGTTGCTCCATGACCTCAGAAATAGTTAACTGTAACAAGAGTTTGGTTTGAGGTTTTCGCTTGCATCTCTGAACTGTCTACAAATCCCAGTTACCTGTTGACATCAGTGAAACAGTCGCTGTCACGGTAAGTGCTGGTGTGTCCAGGGTTTCGCGATGTCGCTGACACATTGGCCGTGAACGTTGGGTGGAGAAATTCAAGATAAAGTGAATGATAACACAAACACACAGTCGGATGAGATTATGTAACCAGATGATGAAACAAGGGCTGTCGATAGAGATCTACACACTCTGTTTCATCCGTCCTTCTTGTTATGAGCGTCACACCGTGTTATGTGTAGAAGTAGTAGTAGTAGTAGTAGTAGCAGCAGGAGCAGCAGCAGAAACAGTATCAACATCATTAGTACCAGTCTAGCAGTAGAACAGTAGAATGTATAGTAGTAGCAGCAGCAGAAACAGTATCAACATCATTAGTACCAGTCTAGCAGTAGAATGTATAGTAGTAGCAGCAGCAGAAACAGTATCAACATCATTAGTACCAGTCTAGCAGTAGAATGTATAGTAGTAGCAGCAGCAGAAACAGTATCAACATCATTAGTACCAGTCTAGCAGTAGAATGTATAGTAGTAGCAGCAGCAGAAACAGTATCAACAACATCATTAGTACCAGTCTAGCAGTAGAATGTATAGTAGTAGCAGCAGCAGAAACAGTATCAACATCATTAGTACCAGTCTAGCAGTAGAATGTATAGTAGTAGCAGCAGCAGAAACAGTATCAACATCATTAGTACCAGTCTAGCAGTAGAATGTATAGTAGTAGTAGCAGCAGAAACAGTACCAGTCGAGCAGTAGCAGTAAGTAGCATTTATAGTAGTAGCAGCAGCAGCATCATGAGCTGTAGTATTAGTCGTAGCAGCAGCAACAACAACATTATCGTCATCATCATCATTGATGCTTCAGGAGGGAGGCAGTAGTTGTCAGTCGGTCTTTCTATTTTTCTGTGAATGTTCCTCCTAAATCCGTGTGTAGAATGTAGATTAGTGAAGTCAAAGTCCCCGGCATTCATGTCAGTGTGGTTGCGGGCTTTCCCGTTAGTTTGTATTATCAGTGAGCTGATTCCTTGTTTTTACTGACCACTTATTTAATCAAGAGCCTGCTTCCGCATGATCTTGTTATTCACGCATCTGTGTCTGTTAAGATAAGTAAAGACCGACATCGCAGCACTTGGAGCATTTCCATAAGTGCTCCGTCCCCATCTTCAGCAGCCAGTGCAGAGTTCGTGCCAGCGATACCAATAGCGGTTTGATTGTATGTCTGTCCTGCTTTTGCTTTGAACGTCGAGCATTAGCCAGATCCCAATGTCACTTCCTGAAGCAGCACTCTCACCAGACTATGATGATCCATTTGCTTCTCCGAATTGCACACGTGCTCCCGTAAGAAAAGATCCAGACAATGTTCCTCCATCTAGACCTCCGAAGCGAAGCTTGCCGCTCTGTACAAAGCATGCCTGCCATCACCTTCCTCAGCATGCTTTCAATCAGTTACAATTAAGATGTATGTGTATGTGTGTGGTGTTTTTTAGCCAGCAGAAAGCTGCAGTAACCCCCCCCCCCCCCCCCCCCACCCGCAAAATTCTTAAGCTAGATCCCTCAATTCAGTTGAGTTGAGTCAAGAATTGACATCACAGCACTCGGGGTATTCCCATGCATGCTCCATCCTCATCTTCAGCAGACCTCGATTCATTGATATGTTTATCATCGGACCGGTCTACAGGTCTGTCTTATCCCACCTTCTGAGCCTTATCCGTTCTCGCATCTGTCTGTCTGCTGCCTACCCCTCCCAGTTCTGTGTAACTGCTCTACCAGCTACTGTATAAGGTCTTGTCCTTCTGTCTGTCTGCTGCCTACCCCTCCCAGTTCTGATGTAAGGGCTCTACCAGCTACTGTATAATCAGGTCTTGTCCTTCTGTCTGTCTGCGCCTCTATAAAACCACAGTGATGAGAGAAAAAAGAGAGCCGGCAGGTTATTGATTTTAAAGAGACAAGAGAGAAATTAGCAAGTCAATGAAACAAACCAGAATCTGTCCCCAGTTGGCACCCTTGTCACGCGCCGGAAACAGCCAGGAATGCTGGTCCCCGGCCTACGTCATCGCCGGCACGTCCAGGTCACCGTCCTACTGGCTGATTAGTCAGCCATGTTTGTTAGAGAATAATATAAAAATTTATAAATTGAAAACAAAATTGAGCTGTCTCTGCAGCTCTACGGCTCAACAACTGAGGCGGGCTATTGAGCTGTCTCCACGGCTCCACAACTGAGGCGGACTATTGAGCTGTCTCCACGGCTCCACAACTGAGGCGGACTATTGAGCTGTCTCCACGGCTCCACAACTGAGGCGGACTATTGAGCTGTCTCCACGGTCCCACAACTGAGGCGGACTATTGAGCTGTCTCCACGGCTCCACAACTGAGGCGGACTATTGAGCTGTCTCCACGGCTCCACAACTGAGGCGGACTATTGAGCTGTCTCCACGGCTCCACAACTGAGGCGGACTATTGAGCTGTCTCCACGGCTCCACAACTGAGGCGGACTATTGAGCTGTCTCCACGGCCCCACAACTGAGGCGGACTATCCACGGCCCCACAACGGAGGCTATTGTCTGTCTCCACGGCTCCACAACTGAGGCGGACTATTGAGCTGTCTCCACGGCTCCACAACTGAGGCGGACTATTGAGCTGTCTCCACGGCTCCACAACTGAGGCGGACTATTGAGCTGTCTCCACGGCCCCACAACTGAGGCGGGCTACAGTCAGGACCGGATGTAGACTTGTCGAGGACATACGCTATATTAAGTCTCAAGCAACTGGAAAACGTGGGAAAGATGACGCATATCAAGCTGATCACTTTATTCAACTGAAAGAGGCTACAAGTTAGAACATATACAAGCCGGAGTTAATATTATATCCAAAATAATATCAGTAGCACTAGAACATTTATAGGAAAAAACATTTAATTAAACGAAAATTGCATTTGTGAAAATTGAGTTTTGTAAAGATTGCTGCTATAGAAATATTCTCAGAATATCTTGGACAAAGAAGATGAGAAATATTGACATCTTAAAAGATCTGAACATCAAGGAAGAATGGCTAATAAACGGCATCCTTTCTCGAAAGCTGAAATATTTTGGTCATATCAAGCGCCACGAGGGATTGGAAAAAAGTATAGCAGAAGGCATGGTACCAGGAAGGAGGGGCA